TTTCTAAGAAATCTGGGCTAAGGCATGAGGGTTTTACTTAAGGATGATAATTTCAGTATATAACAATGCAGTTAGCAGGTTACAGCAAGAGGCATGAGAACAGTGGCCATCAAAATTCCTTCTCCCTTCCCCTCTACCATTCAATAGTACAACAAGCAACTCAACACTTTAGTCCCTAGTTTGGATACCACAGTGCTTCTGTAGTAGAAACTAAGTAACTCTTAAGTTTACCTGATAAAAGGAACCAATGTTTCAATGTTCTATATCCATAGCTGTATCTTTGATTTTTTTATGTATATGAGTGTTGTCTTAGGTAAGATTCAGGGCGCCCTTCTTATTTAAATTGCTTTGTTCCCATGAACAGAACTAAATAAACCCATTCAAAGATCAAATTATATAGCTATTGGAGAGGGTACATCTTGTAGCCAATTTATTCTTGCAGGATTGCCAAGGAATGGAATTCTATTCAAAATTAGACCACTGGAGGGGCCAGACAAAGGTGATTTTGTCATTGGGTAGAGCTATATAACATCAGACCTTAAGACATCAGGGCCTAAATTGATTCTTCCACACTTAGTGGTGCATATTTTGGAATACGGGCTGGGTATTGGTCTGAATACTTTAGCAGGTATGATGTCATTTTAGTTATGACTGAGGCCCATCTGGGAGAGAATATAAGTTAGTCTCTTAAGTCTTTTATTACAGAATGTCAACTCTGCCATAGGCGTATTTAGTATTTAAGACACAAGTTATTCTCTTTAATCAACAGTACAGAATAACAGAACCTCAGGGACTCAGCAGAGAATTCATCTGTGAATTAGAAATTGGGCATTTGCCAAAGGATGATGCAATTTGCCTAATATTTGAGAAAAATGGTCTAGAAGGCAAGTCAATGCTCCATCCCTCTGGCTTATTTAAGCTCCACGTTCATTAATTTCAGTCTTTATTAAGTAATAAATCTATATTATAGTACCTTAATAGTCCACAGAAATGCTTCCGTTGAATTAGCATTTAATGCCACACACTCAGATTTTAGAGAATGGCATTAGGGAAGAAGCAACCGTATGGGGAACATTTGTGTGTATTTTGCAAAATCAAAGTTTAAAAATGGGGTTTGTTCTGGTACCAAATCTCTTTGTGAATCTAGGTGAGAAAAATCCATGGTGCTCAGACTTGCTTTGACTTGCAACATTATTAATTTGTTGTTGTCATTATTATTATTTGCTTTGGCTTATAAAAATTCACAGCTAAACAATGCACTCAACTGTACTAATGGACATTTTGAGTCACTGCTAAGATATTTCTTCCCTTTCAGTTATTCCTTGCCTTTATAAGATTTAACAGTCCTTTTTGTAGTTTTAGTATTGAAGTAGTCCCAAATCTAAAAAGGTTATATATACTTAACTAAATAAGCAATAAAGTTTTTAAATAAACAGTTGTAGAGAATATTTACCTATATTATTTCGATGAAGTAGGGAATTAAAATTATCAAGTTAAATCTCTTTGCAAGTTTTAACAGAATCCTACCAGTAAAACATAGATGTGATAGAATAAGAAAAGAGCTGGCAAATATTTTAAGCATTTTAGTCCCCATTTCCCATGTTTCATGTTTCTTAAGCTTTGTTTCTTTCCTCTTGGAAATTATAATGCCCCTTTTTAAAAATGCCTACTTCCTTCTTCATATTTTCATTGAATACTTACAGATAAAGAATTTAACTGGAAAGTACAGCAACTATTAATAATCAGTCAGTTATGGGAATAAAATTCAATTATCACAAACTGTTATTCCCAAATTTATTTAACATAATTTAAGAGTTCTTGAAATTGCCAGATAACCTCTCAGATTTATTATAACTTAGATGAAAATTCCACTATGAGACTATCTCTAAATGATATTAAACAACCAGAAACCTCAACTAAAAAGTCTGGTATGTTACTAAATTTATAAAGAGAAAGTAATAATCCAGTTGTCTGGTCAAATTGTTAGTGGTTTTGTTGGTATCACAGAGTCAACCTCAGACAAGAATATCTTCATAGGTGAGCGAGCACCTGCACATCTCTGTTTCTCAACTTGGTAAGAGTTTCTATTGCTTACTCACAGAGGACATATTTTGTGAAAAGTAGCATGCTATACAAATTAGGCATACACAGTAAGTTATAGTCCCAAGTCACATGGAAATTCAGTAAAATATCTGGTTAAGAAGTACAAATTCCCCAATATTGTCTATGGTGTTATGTTCATAAGTAGCAATCATAAGAAACTTTAAAATCCTGTTTCATGGGGGACAGTTATGTGACTAATTGCCAGGCTTCACCACTGTGTGAATGTCTTGCCCATCATCCTAAATCCAGGGCAGGTAGCCTGTTCTCTCAGGTCAGGCTCCATATCCTCACCTGATTTCTTGTCTTCACTCTGGCCTGCATTCTATACGCTAAAAGCAGATTCTACTAACCATTCCTAGACTTCTTTTCTGAATTGGGAACTTCTCTAATGTCACCAAATTTGACCCTATATACCAAACTGGATTTTCTTTTAGATTCCCCTGAAACTGCATTCCTCTTTCAGAGGAAGATGGTTTTCTTAACCAGCAATGCCTTCTGATTCTGACCTTCTTTATCTACCCTTATCCCACAGATATCCACACTCTTGGGGCATGAAGTTTGGTGCTAGGACATTAAATCTTTGGCTACTGTTAGGAGGTACCTTCATGTTTTTGACCCTCAATAATCCACAAGAATTCTACTTGAGATAATTAGTGATAAAAGCATAAATACCAACTGAGTATCACACTCATTATTACCTACTATTTAAGCCCAGAATATATTATTGTTATGTCTGTTATAAGGCATTAACTATTATATCCATCCAACTAGAGCTATATCTGACAGCTGTATGAATTCAAATTTTTAAATTTATAGGGATCATAGTGTAATAATAATATATTCCTCCAAATAGAAGAGTGAGTTAAAATATTATCATTTGTTTCTTCTAAATAGATTCTTCATGACATTCTAAATTCATTTTAACAGCAATTTTTTTTTTTTTTCAACTAAAGCCATTATGGGTATTTTTTTCCCCTGGGATGTTCTGATCAATTTTCCTATGAATTAGTCTCATGAAAATAAAATATAAGCTTAATGGGGTTCCTATCAAAGAAAAAATTTTGTGATGCTAGATCAAAATGTTTTTTAGCAAATGTTCCAAGCACTTAGCTATTCAAAATATATTAAGAGATAGAAATAATCATCAAGTTCTTCCCTGTAATGAATGCTGAAATCAATATTAACATCGTGGAACATCCTCTCCAGTTACTAACTGGAGAGATTACTAGCACAATGGGAAAGTAGACTTCTTTCCAATCTCACCAGTGATGCCATTTATCATGTCTTTTTTCAAGTAACAAGACTTGTATTAAATAAGCATCAAGAGGGGATGAGGCCAGAATGCGGTCCTGAAAGGTCCCGAGCTAAAAGTTAATCAGCTAAAGGGCTAGCCCCTTTTTACCTGAGCACAGCATGCAGCCAAGAGTTCACATGTAGGATAAAATTTCAATTATGAGTCATTTAAACTCCAAGAAGAATAAACCCGTGTCAAGGAAGGGGTACATGGGAGCTACAAACTTGTAAAAAGATCACCAAGACCTTTTATTACAAAAGAATCCAAGATGTTGGGTCTAACAAAGGTAAATGTCACAAGAAACCGAAACTCAGACCCAGACAAATACACACATATATATAGTTTTACCTTGCTGCGTTGGGATCCTGTGACCTTAAGGAAGGATGAGGACAAGAAGCAAAATAGCAATAAACAATTGCTCGGAAGACAACTGGTAGACCATAAATGGTGTGCACTTCAGAAAACACAGTATTATTTGCTGCTCAGAGCTCATTCTAATTTACCTCAGTTTCTTATCAATAAAGACGGATTTGAGAATAGGATACACATACATTAGAAAAGATTATAGTGTCACATAGGAAATTAATCTTATGGCATTTTTTCTCAGCAACAGTCATGGGTTGTTCTCAGATTAGCTTTTGTACTTTCTACACACTGATTTCAATGCTGCAGAGATGCCATATCAAATTGCTCCTGGAAGGGGCCCTACTCTATGTCCACCCCTCAACCTGTACCTTTCAGTAGGACCACTGTCGTAAGGACTGACTGCTGGTTACTAATATATTTCCAGACTTCTAGCTCAAAATCCAGATACATAATAGAAAAAAAATAATAATGTAATCTATTTCTTTCCACTTCATTTCTTTTTGAAAATTCTAAAAAAAAAAAAAAAAAGGAGAAAAGAAAAAAAAAGGAGAAAAGTGGTAGTTAGCAACAACTCTTTTCTTCATAGAAAGCAAAAGTAAAATCTAAACAAATGGGGTCAAATAATATTACTTTCCTTCTGGCTAATTAGCATTGAGCAGTATTTCTAATTTTCTGGATATTTAAGAGCTGAGAACATCTGAGAAAGTAACCATAAAACAGAACACAGTCCTAGGAATATATGCACTCCTGCCTCATGCAAGCAAAGGGCATTGTGTGCCACCATCTACATATGTACAGGGAATGAGTGACCTATCTGAAGTCAAAAGAGGCCAGATCTTTAAGACTTCTTCATTTCAGAAGAAAATAGCCAACCAAGGGTTTAATTAAAAACTCGATATCATGTTGCTCTTCAATAAATATTTTCCTCAAATGTCCATTGGAAATTTCAGATCACGACATTCACTGAAATGAGAACAGTTTGAAGCACTCTCTGAGAGTTCTCAGGGACACTCATTCTGAACATATGGGTTTTATTGGATTATTTCATTATTCTATGTTCCTTGGTCTTAACTTTAGCAAATGTTAGGACTCAGATTTGTCCATCCAGCTTCTGACATGCAGTTCCTTGACACAATAAGCTGCAATAAGCCATGAAGCAAGAAACATAAATGTCAGTTATAAGCTATGAAACAATGTTTCAAAATAGAAAAGACAAATCTAGAAAGATCCATCTTACTTCAAAACTCTTTACTTCTTCTTCACCATCATCATCTTCCTCATCATGACAACTCTGAGACATGGAAAACATTAAGAAAAGCAGGGTTAGAATATGTCGAGGCAGAAAGTACAAAACAATGCAGCATGGAACACCAAATCATTTGTACTAAGTTGTCATCGACATTGTTGAAACAGATGTATTAGATACAGTAAATGTAGATGGCATTATCCACGAATTCATGACCTAAAAGAAAATTATGCTTTGCTTTTACAAAATCAAAATATTAAATTGCCAATTTTAGGCACAGCACGGAGATATAGACGAGACCCCTACCATAGTACATGTACCTCTTATTCATGCATTTATTACCTTGTTCAAATTATCCTTAAAGATAAGGATAATTGTTTTATTTTATGTTGTCATTAGAACGCAAGAATATAGATATATGCAATAACTGTGAATTAAAATTAACAGAAAGCATGTCCATTGTTTCAACTGAATCTTGTAATCTTTTACATTCATTTTTTACTGTAATTGGTCCAAAGGAGGAAAATGAAATTCTAGCTGCTACTAATATTATTATTTTATAGAAAAATAACTGACTAATCCATTATTTTGAGTTATTTTCCCAGAAATGATAAAGGAGTTATGCTAATCCATGCATATATTCTTATCTAATTGCCACAGCTAAAGTTTTTGCTTGCTAAATTTAAGGAAGAGTGGTATGATTAGGACCATAGCCTGAGGACACAGAATGCCTGCTTTAAATCCTGATGCTGCCAATTATTAGCTGTTCAGCTTAGGGCAAGTTTCTTTACCTCCCTGGGTCTCCTTTTCCTCATATTTAAGGTAGAAATAAGACAAAGAAGAACAGGGCTCCTGAGAGGATTATATGAATTAACATATGCAAATTGTTTGCATAATTAAGTGTCTGAAAAATAATAAGCATTTAATAAATCTCAACTGCTATTATTATTAGGGTTGGGAATAGAAAGTATCATGTTGACCAAAGGAAGCTGGTCACTAACCAATACCCGTGGCAGGGAAAAAACCTATAGCTCTTCAAAGTTAGATTGTTCCAACCCTTCTCAAGATTTCTTCTGGTCCACAACCACTCAGTGTATCAGTGAAGTGAATGGTGGCAAGTAATTAAATATAAGTGACAAATCAGAAAAACAGTTTTAATTCAGTAATTCCCAGTATTTTGAGTATGGAGATGAAGTGGGGATGGGAGTGAGGGCAGAAAACATGATCCTACCTGCACGATGATCAATTCTAAATGTCTGTCAAGTTCTTTTGTTCACTCAACAAATACTATCACCCTTTCCAATTTAGAATAAGAAGACTGACAACATGGTTTGCAGGGGAGAAAATAAAGGATTCTGCTCTTTGGAAAAGATGTCCCATAGCATGTTTCCCCACAGAAATAAAGATGTTAATTATTTATTCAAGAGTGCAGGAAATGTTCTGCTATGTGCTAATGTCACCTTGGCTCCCACACCATCAGCTAACTGGGAATTTAAGAAAAAGAACTCATGAGGGCGTCTGGGTGGCTCAGTCGTTAAGTGTCTGCCTTCAGCTCAGGTCATGATCCTAGGGTCCTGGGATCAAGCCCCGCATCGGGCTTCCTGCTAGGCGGGAAGCCTGCTTCTCCCTCTCCCACTCCCCCTGCTTGTGTTCCTGCTCTCGCTATCTCTGTCAAACAAATAAAATCTTTAAAAAAAGAAAAAGAACCCATGAAAATTTGAGTAAAACACATCTGATAGGCAAATCTGTGGTCCTCTGTAAATACTGTGCATCTAATGTTAAACACAGAGGAATTTTGGCTTATCTGCCCTCTAAGATTACCTATCTGATGTTTCCTTCCTCTGCATTAGGAATCAGAAGTAAAGCACAGGCATTTTATCAGGTAACAAGCATGTTTACTATTTAAGCAAATCAGAACACTAATCTGTCTCTTGAGAATGTGAAGTTTAGGGGCGCCTAGGTGGCTCAGTCAGTTAAGGGTCTGCCTTTCGCACAGGTCATGATCCCAGGGTCTTGGGATTGAATCCCATGTCGGGCTCCCTGCTCTGGGAAGAGTCTGCTTCTCCCTCTCCCTCTGCCTGCCACTCCCCCTGCTTGTGCTCTTTCTGTCAAATAAAAAAATTAAATCTTAAAAAAAAAATTGCAGTTTAAGAAAAAAACGCAGTTTTAAATTTTCTCAAATTATCTCCTATATAAATTTCATTATCTTTAGAAATATAGAGAAGAAACAAGTTTTGAGATGAAGAATACATTCAGAAAAAATATTTTGGGTTACAATGATATGCTTTAATCTATAAAATTCATATGATATGCTTGCTTTTGGAATTCCTTCAAAAATTTAGAGCTCTAGCTGACAAATATTTTTTACAAATATTTATTTTAATTTTTTTAACAAAGATTTATTTTTAAATAATTTGAAAAATCTTTCTATGAAAATTTAGCAGGATTTGCTTCTAATATAGAGGTTAAAATTTGTGATTTTTAGAACCTATTTAGCTTAAATCAATTTGGAGTGGATAGCTGACAAAACTCATCAAACCTATAAACTATTTTGAACTTCTACTGATTGGATACATTGAGGATACACTGGGACCACAAGAAAACTATAGCAGATCTGCAATTTTTTAATGTACTGGGAAGAAAAAGGATTTATAGGTATAGGAGATATGTTTTTCACTACCAAACTGCATCCATGTAGTATATATGGTAAGTAAAGAGGCAGTTCTATTAGATGGCTTTAGCTTTCTGCACCAAAATGAGAAACTCCAGGCATAGAGGAGTTATACCATATGCCAGGAAGGAAAAAGTGAGTAAAATCCACACACAAGGGGGCAGAAGCATGGAGTAAGAGAATTTAGAAGAAAAAAAAAGAGAGAGAGAGAAAACTAAAATAGAGGATACTTCAGACCATTCAGGGGTCTAGATCAAAATTCAAAATTGGTGATGAGAATCCATAAGCAGTCAATAGGGCACTTCACTTTGCCCACATAACCTGGGCATTTCTTTCTGCAGAGCAAGTACATTTCACACATTTTTAAGTTGCCTTTCTAACTGTGGCACTCCTCAGAAGATGGAGGAAGCAAAACCAGAAACTTTTAGTATGGATTTAAATCTGACAGCTGATGGGTGAGACCGAAGTGAGAGTAATCTCCTAAGAGGGTGACCATTGTGTTTGATAATTTTAATAAAACCAACAATGGATAGAACCCTGGGTATAACTTAATGTGGATCCTAAATATTTCAATAAGTTAGTAAGAGAAGGAGGAGGAAAAGATTTTCTCAGTCAGAAAGTCAAGATAGTGGAAATACTGTTGAGTGTTTAACTTATGATGGCATCATTCTAGAGACTTCCACATGGTTATCTTGTTCATGATGGTAGAAACATCCCAGCTGCGTGAAACGGCTTCAGATTCTTTTTTTTTTTATTTTATTTATTTTTATTTTTGTTATTTTTGTTATTTTTTTTTAAAGATTTTATTTATTTATTTGAGAGAGAGAATGAGATAGAGAGCATGAGAGGGGGAGGATCAGAGGGAGAAGCAGACTCCCCGACGAGCAGGGAGCCCGATGTGGGACTCGATCCCGGGACTCCAGGATCATGACCTGAGCTGAAGGCAGTCGCTTAACCAACTGAGCCACCCAGGCGCCCCATGGCTTCAGATTCTTGAGGACAGGTAACGGGCAATACTGAGGCATTCTGGGAACCGGGTGTGAGGGGCCATGATGATGACAAAAGCAGTGGCAACAGCAACACAAGCCAATGTGGATAAATTTGTAAAGTGGTGGTGTACACGACAGGAAAAAAAAGGGTATTAATCTCAGGTTTAAAATAAAGTATGGCTTGAAAAACACAAAGATTTAAGATGATTTTTTTCAAGATATAGCCAAAGCAAGGAGAATGAGGAACAGTAAGTATAGGGTTTAGAGCAGATGCTATAACAATAATAATAATAATAATAATAATAATAATAATAGAGAAGTGCAGAGCTACTCATCAGCTGTTTGATTCAGATTTTACCACCAGAGAGAGGGATTTTTATTTATTTTTTATTTGTTTGTTTATTTTTTAGAGAGCTGCGTGAGCACGGGGAGGGGCAGAGGTAGAAGGAGAGAGAGAATCCCACACTGAGCATGGAGCCCAATGCTGGGCCAGACCCCAAAATCCCGAGACCATGACTTAAGCCAAAACCAAGATCCAAAGCTCAAATGACTAAGTCACCCACACACCCCAAGAAGTGATTTTTAAATATAGAAATCAGCCAAGAGAAAGGAAAATTATGACCCCAATGAAAGACCATCTTTTTTTTTTTTATTCTTATGTTAATCCCCATACATTACATCATTAGTTCTAGATGAAGTGTTCCATGATTCATTGTTCGTGCACAACACCC